TAGAAATAAACTTTTAATCTTTTATTTTTCAAGTACGGTTTCAAACAATACTTGAACAATTTAAACAATTAAATTCATGAGTTAATTGCTGCATTCGATATTTCTTTACAAAAAAAGAAAAAGAAGATTTTACTTTTACATGAAAACATTTTAGCTGAGATTTCTGATTTACGTACGCAAATCTCAGTTTTATTTGGCAGTAGTTTTTAAATTGTCTAAATTTTGTTTTCTTTTAAACAAGTGAATAATCTGCTGTGATAAGTTATTGTCCATTTTTATTAAATATTTCTATAATTTTTGTTCATTAATACTAATATTATATTATATATTAGCATTAATAATTTCCATTAATATTTCTACATATTTACTTAGTTTTTCCGTAGTGTTCTTAATTGTTATAATGTTTTATACTTACTACACATATTTAGTTTTTCTGTCTCAATATGTCAATGTCCTCAGCGGAAGAGCAGATCTAATATTATTATTATTATTATTATTATTATTATTATTATTATTATTATTATTATTATTATTATTATTATATTATTATCACCGAATATTATCAAAGCTCATTCGGTATTTAAAGCTATTATTTTCTGCTGGTATACTAATATTTAATTATCATAGTTCCATGTTTTCAGTCACCTCCTCTGATTATCACGTATCCTTTAAATTCATTTTGAAAATGAAAAAAACTACCTTTTATTCAGAAATAATTTGCCTCAATAAAAGGAATTGGCAATCATACTGTTCTCATGTTGTATTTTTCATCACAAAAAATAATGTATCCCAGTGATCCTGAATGTACCTGTTGGGGTCCCATTGGAGATTACAATGAAAATTACTACCGAAGATTAGTACTGAGAAATCCCCCTTAGACGTCGGAACGCCGGCCCAACGCTCCGTGCACCTGCGCCCGTGTGCTTGCGGAGTCGGGGGAGGGGGGAGGGGGGCCTTGCGAACTTTGCTGCCCTCGGGACGCTTTCAACGCTGAGGCCGCGGTGTGTCACAGGCGGATCGCCGTTTTGGGAGGCGACAGTTTTTAACTACGCTCGACTCTCCCTCGACGAAAGTTTACAGACATTACCGCACTCCTAAATCTCATTTACTGGAAAGCAGACTTTTGTTGTGAGTTTTGCCTTTATTTGTAGATGGATCTTTATTTACATTATATTTTATTCTTTTTTAATAATTTGTGTTCAATTAATTTTGCTTAATTTTGAATAGGAAGTTGTTTGTTGTGGTGTTAACGATTTTGGAAGAATCTCACTATTACTTTGGAAAAAAGTTTGTGTTAAACTATGAATTCGGTCAAGAAAATGCGTTAGGTCATCGAAGTCATAAAGAGTTAAAAGGCAAAGTTTATCTTGCAAGTCCCGTGCCTTCTTCAGTTCTTGCATTGTTTAAAATAGGTCTTTCTAGTTGGTTCAAAATATGAGGGCACTCTGTTGGAACTTTATTTCTGTTTTGTAAATAAAATATAACATTAATGCGTATAGACTTTTTAAACAAACATTGTTCTTTTCTTGTGATTATTTTAATTGCAAAAATTCGAATCAAATTTCTTGTCTCATAATATGTAATTACGTCGCGACTTTCTGCGCAATAAATTTGTGAATAATTTATTAACAAATCTTTATCTGCTTTAATACTAAGGATGTTTCATACTTACAAACATTTGAAAATGCATCAAAATACGGGTAACTTAGTCACATAAATCCATTACCTCAAACATCAACCCACTCGTATAGTTCCGATAACTTCTCTAATCAAACTTTTCATGCATAGGAGGTCATGAAATATTCATGCCATTGCGTTGTAGTGTATAGCTCATGTTTTGCAAATGCATGGACAACAAACTTACGTGTTCAAAAAATTAGAAAAAAAAGAGACCAAACGTTCAGAAAACCATTGACTTTCCCAGGGGACAGCATACATATTAGTTAGAGGTGCGTTCCACTCTCGTTGTACTCTACGCGGTGGAGCTGTAGGGAAATGAGAGCGCGCCGGGGGACTAGTCCGGAGCGGGAGGGGAGCGGGGCAAGGGCGAGGGGCGCGGCGTGCAGCGGGCGCAGCTCCGCGCGGCGAAAGCGACGGGTCTCTCCCCCGAGGGCTCCACAGCGTCAGCGAGAGCGCTCAATCGAGAAACCGATTGCATTGCAAAGCGGGGGCGCGTGAGACCCTCTCTCGGGTTTATGCTCGGTCCTCCGAGGCGCCTCGGACTGTCACCCGCCGCCTCCTCATCCTCACCTCCTCCTATTCCTCCTCCTTGTCCTCCTCTTCCTCCTCTCCTAATCCCCTCCTCCCCTCCTCCCACTCATCTCCCTCCTCCCCCTCCTCTCCCTCCTTCCCCTCCTCCCCTCTTCTTCCTCTTCCCCTTATTTCCCCTCCTCTCCCTCTCTACCTCCATCCCCTCCTCCTCTTCCTCCTCCTTGTCCTCCTCTTCCTTCTCTTCCTCCTTCTTCTCCTCATCGACCACCTCCTTCTCCCCTACGCCGTCCGCTCTCCCCTCCTGGGGATGGGCCGAGGAGCAGTACCCTAAAAAACGAACCAGGGACCGCGATTTTTTTTCTTTTTCCTCCTTGTATTATCTAGGCTATCCTGGACGAGCCGCCGTTCTGTCGTGACTAACGTTTCAGCCAACATTTTGTGGCCTTCTTCAGAGCTATTCTATACTGGTAGTCTAGACAATACAAACCGGATAGCAATACCCGGATAGCGTAGATAATACAAACTCCGGTCGCGGAAGCCATCACAATAATTTCGTTCTTCATCCTTGTTCCCCTCATCTCGCCTTACACACACATACTTACGTGCACTACATTATCACAAATGTCGGGAGATATGTCAGGAGGATAAAGCTTGTCCCGACTGGGGTGGTGCCTTGCTGATGGAGGGGAGAAGACCCCGTAAACCGTCATGTAACTGGCTGCTGGATCTCACATTCCACTAGGTGAGAAAACCAACCACCTCCCGGAATAAAGCATGCCCAACACTTACGGGACTAACGTCCATAAGTTGATGCATCCGGAATCAATTATTTCTTATTGATAGTGGTGGCGACAAAAGGGACCATTGCTGGGCTAGACGTGGCCGCCGTCAGACCCTTGTGAAGCGCCAAGGTCTCTCCTGCAAGAGCCATGCGGAGAGATCATTGTTCACTTTGCAAAGGAAACGTCTCGTCTAATTCGTTTTGCTTGGTTTCCGTGGCTAAGAAGCGAGATATAGAGTCCCAATAGTTATAGATCTCTTTTCCTGAAGAGTAAAAATGCATTTGTTTTTTATGTAAGTGCATTTGATTGTTTTAGATACATTAGTTTTATTATTTTATTAGGAACGTTTTGCTTTCTTAATATTCAATATCAAATCCGTTCTAACGTTGAGTTTCCGATCACGTATATAGATGGATTTACCCCTAGAGTATTTCTACATGTGTGTCTATAATTAAAACTAATTACTCAATGCGATAAACTGATTTTTCAGCAATTCTCTAGGAGGCAAATCGTAGCTATTGTAACTTCGTTTACGCAATTGTCTCTCATCTATCCTCTCAAGATGGTCTTTGCGTGTGAATTTCTCGCCCAAGCGTCTATAACCCGCGATCCATCCGAAATAAGCATTTCATTACTCGCTACAATAATCCGTTTTATCTCAGTTTATCTAGATTGGGAGTCAAATAGCTATCAATGAATCTTCATTTTGGCTATTACGTCTTCTCCGAAGTCCTTTTCGTGATCTCCAGTTTGCTTACCTGTCTCCATCTCATCGCTGCCAATTCCGGCACAAGACCATCTTCCTTTCCGCATGCCGACGCCTTACTTATCTGGCAAAATCAGTTAGCTTCTCTGTTATTTATAGAGGACCGAACACTACTTTTTCTTGATAATGAACCAAACGCAATCACCAAAGTATTTTAATTTTCCTAACATGTAAAATAAATTATTAATCTTAGTATATAAATCCTTTATTTCGAAAATTAAAAATTCTCCTTTCAAGGTTAACCCATCGCCAAGATTTTCCTACTTGACTCTACTTTTCCACAATCCGACAAAGATTAACTATCCTTGAATCGCATAAAATACTTGATTAGAATGACATTGACTAGAATAGTTAGCCACGTGTCTGTCCGAGAACACACCCCCTGAAACATTTAGATGATAGTGCAAACAGAACCTGTACCAAATAGTGACAAGCATCTGAATCACTCGGTCGTCATCCAAATTCGACTCAAGACATCTCAGAAATGGAATTGATTGCTTTAGTGATTCCGGGCACGTCAACTACCAGGGTCATTTGTTCCGTAAATGTAGTGCATGTTTTATAGGGAGCTGGCGATGATCTTTCCTTTGCTGTGTGGCGAGATCCGGCGCCGACCATCCCTAGGCTAGCGGGGTTTTCCTCAACCAGGTATCTCCCACCAGCTGGACACAGCCCCAGCCGGGACAAACTCTAAGCTCCCAACCGGTCTCCCGGCATGTGTGCTTGTGTAGTTCGTGTTAGTGTAAGTGTCTGTGTGTATGTGTGTGTGTGTGTGTGTGTTAGGGGAGAGGATAGTACAAGAAAGAGGTAGGAAAGATTGCGGGCGGTCCGTGGCCCGTTTGTTAGGGTACTGCTCCTGCATTCGCCTGGGTTGATCTGAGAAACGACGGAAAACTACTAATTAGAGCGGCCAGTCGCTAGAATTCTCCTCTAGACAGCGACCAAATTCTACCTAACTGACAAGCTAGTGTCGAAAATCCTGCCACCGTCGGGAGTGGACCTCCCGGTCAGAGGCACTGCAGTGACATCAGTTGATGCCCTAAGTCATCTCTTCCGGTACCACAGATATTGGACCTCATCTGTATTCATGTACCTGCACATGAGTATCTCAACGTCGTTATAATGACCTTTAGAACCCTAAATCTTTCCACGAGTTCATTTGGCAAGCACGCTCCTTTACAAGTTTTCCAACTGACGCGAGGTCGAATGCGTGTACCCATACGTGGTGTTCGTGTGTGCAGCGCGCTTCCTCACCCGCTGCGGGCTGTTCTGCCTGCTGTGGGTGGCCACCAACTACATGTACATCCACTCGCTGCGCATCCTGCTCGCCACCGACGTCATGGCGCTGTTCGCCACCAACGTCTCCTGCGTCTACCTGCTCTCCTGGGTCATCCTGCACGAGCAGTTCGTCGGCGTTAGGGTGAGTCGCTTCGTCGGTTATACAGGCTGTCTCAGAGTGAATGTTACATGCTTCATGAGAAAGTAAGGGGTGGAAGATAAAAACTTTTTGCCAATTAACATGTGACGTACATCATAAAATTGGAAACGTCATACATCTACCAATAAGTTACACATGTGACATTTGCCCCTGGTAGGTAGGCAACCCATCGTGTATTGATGTTTGGCTGGTATTAAAAATCTCTTGGCTGTCAGTATGTGTAATATTTTGTAACATTTATTCTGAGACACTATGTAATATTAATAGCAATACAACATATCGTAGGTAACAGGCCTCTAGTAGAAAATAGGACTTGTATTAGCATGAAATGGGACAAGGGATTCCGTGGTAAGTAGGCTTACAACACACGAAATTTTATTCTCGCAATTCATTACATTATTATGAACGTGTTTTTTTGGGCGGCTGTTGGTTTGTACTCTGATGGAGAATATTTGAGTAGATATTTCGCCAACTCTTGCGATGAGCCTCCTCGGTAATGAATAGTCAGTTACCGTAAGCCGCTGACTATGTCTCTTCGCCCGCGGCCGAGCTATGACAGTATCCACAGCAGGTGTGGACGAAATATTTATAAATACATTTTCAATTAGAATACAATGCCCATCAACCCTAAAAATTCCGGCATTTCTTTCGAAGCCGATCGTGAATTCCTTTATTGTTTCATATTGCGTGGATGTTCAGTAGTGTCAGAACGATTCTCCCTTTTCAGAGAGAGAGAGAAACAATATCCCGTTTTCGCTTCAAATCTAGCGAAAATGTAATCACAAAGAATCCAGAAGTGAAACATTTAATAGTTCATTCCTCTTATTATTGTTATTAATGCGCACTGTTTTGGATAGAACATTTTTTAGAGAAATGTAGAAATTATCTTCTTCTTTTAGTTTCTTTATCGATGAACAAAATAATGTTGCTAATATGTTACCTTTTGCAATAGAAAATGCAAATACAGGTGAAACGACTAATTCTAAATCATTTGAATATTCATTTTAATGTTTCCGTCAATTTACGTCACACTAGATCTTGTAGACACGTCATAGCTTGAAAATAGTTTTAATCAAATATTAATTGTAGTTATGTGGTTTATTAAATGGAAAATAACACCAAAAGCGCTTGTTAAAACCTTTCTGAAAACTGTGTGAGATATTGAGTACATTGCACCATTCGTTTTTAGAAAATGCAGACAGAATGTTAACGTGTGTGATATTACACAACCGAACATCACGTGCCTGTGTGTTTCTCAAACGTTGCAAAGTTATTTATATTTTAATTATTTTTTCCTGTGTAAGTTAATGTAAAATAGGTCATTGGTCTATCTCTACGACTAACGCTACTCTGTTGCCAGATCGTTGCGGTCATCCTGTGCGACACGGGCATCGCGTTGCTGGCGTACATGGACGGCATAACGGGGTCTCCCACGCTAGGTGGCGTCGTGCTCGCCGCGTCCGCTGCCGCGGGCTCCGCTGTCTATAAGGTAAGGCCAACAACTGAGGAACGCTGCTGTTTCAATCCATCACCTGCAAATAATTGCTTTTGTCTCATTTGATTAAAAGAAGCAGCCAGGTAAAACAAAACAAAAATTAGATCTAAAAGCATGCCGGTAGTATTCACTTGCGACCTAAAAAACGAAACTGCTTTTTAATATTTGGTGGTTTTCAGAATTTCACTTCAGGCAAATTCTGGTAAGTTTTCGTTTCGTGGCGGTAGAGAGATGACGCAAATTTCATCCAGACATTAGAATATCACGGCTAGAGCTTTCGTAATTCTTCTTCCGTGTCATTTGTGACTTAACAATATCAATTACAATTCAATATTAACATGCCAATAATGTCTATTTATTTTCCTTTACATCAGCAGAATATGCATAAATGACATAAAAAGTTAGGAAATAGTAGAATTCGATGTCTCATTGTAATCCTGTAGTTAAAAACGTATCTGTTGTTGCAGTTCTTTAAAAATCCATACCAGGAGGACATCATTTTAATACAATCGCTTAGGATAAAAAGGGATCAATACATTAAGTTGTAATTCGTGTTTTTCTGAATTTCGCTTTTGTTGAATTCTGGTAAATTTTCATTATAGTGATAGTATGATGTGCAAATCCAATTTCGTGAATGATGTCCAAGCTTCGCGTGGTAGTTCTAAAGTAACAGTGGCACATTATTAATTGTATTCATTTGTTTATTTAAATATATTGCAAAAAGACAATCAGTTGAAAGTTTGCAGTTAATTTGTTACTAAAGTTTGTTAAACATTTTCACCTAATTTTTAAAATCGTTGTAAAAATGATTTGTAGAACTTTTCTTCCTCGAAGAATCAAGTAAACAAATTCACCTTTTACCACTTTTTTATCTATTTCTCTTCCTTTCTCCTCAATTTTCTTTACGCTTAGCTTTTTTACATTTATTTGAAAGGCAAAATTTCCGTAATCTTTTCTCTTACTCTTTCCTGTGTAAACGTTTGTCATTCTTATGCTCAATTGTCAATTTCACCCTTTTGCCTATTTCCATACCTTTCTACAGCATGTTGAAGAGTAAATTTTACAAACTTATAGTGCATGTAGAGGAATTAAAATGATCACTTTTTAACAATAAACTTGTGGTCGGAAATTTCACACAAAGAAGTTACAAGTACATTTGTTTCTGTTATTAGGCAACTCCTCATGCGTTTGTTTTCGACTGTTATCGGCGTTAGCTGGAAAGGCAGGTGACAGCGCACAGAGATGCAGAGATGGAATTTGCGATGTTGGCTGCCAGTTCCTAATTATTGGCTGCCACGAGACAAAACGCGCAGAACGAAACGAAAACTCGGCCGCCTTCCGAGTATAGCACACGACCAGCCAAAATAGTACACGACACATCTTACACTTCTTCAGAATGTAATCTCCCAAACATTTGTGCATGGAAAGTTGCATAACAATCAAGGTCAAATGACATACGTGTAACTTCGTATTATGAAATTTCCAACTATGTATTTGTTGACAAAAAGTGGTCATCTTCGATTCTTCTACAGACCCTAGAAGTTTGAAACATTTATTCTGAGACATCTGAATGTCTCCCTTCCCGGCCTGTTGGCGAGGCTTCCGTTGCCCGTTTCACCATTTACTCTATGTAACGCCTCTCGTGAAGCAGCGAGTTCGAAGACGCCGCCCGTTCGCAGGTGCTGTTCAAGAAGGTGATCGGCGAGGCGAGCTACGGACAGGTGTCGCTGTTCTTCTCGCTGATCGGGCTGCTGAACGCGGCGCTGCTGTGGCCGCTGTGCCTCACGCTCTACTTCACGGGCGTGGAGACGCTGCCGTGGGAGCGGCTGCCCTGGCCGGCGCTGCTTGCAGCGTCGGGCCTTTCGCTCGGTGAGCGCTGCCTGCCCGCCCGCCCCACGCGCCGCACCTACTGCTTACACACACACGCGCGCGCCACAAAAAAAAAACGAAAAGAAGGAAAGATCGGAGTCTGGGCATAATCAGGATTAATGTTGGATAGTGAGAAGAGAGTACAAGGAGTAGTATCTGTAAAGGAGCTAGAGGTGCAGGGTGCGCAGGAGTCGCCATGAAATCACGTTAGCCAGTAGATATTATTTACCGAAAGTTTTATTAAAAGAATATTTGTTAGAGCTTCCATAACATTCAATAATTTAATTTAATAGTTATTTACAATATAAGTATCGTAAGGCATCTTATGTCAATTCGAGATTGAAGAATTGCCAAACGAGACCGTTAGACCTGTCAACTAATGTAGAAGATGTTACGATACATCTACCTTACAACTTATCTGGTTTTGTAATAATTCCAATGCAACAATGTCAAATATATTTGACAATTCGATTTCGAAAGATGACTTACTAATATTGATAGAACCCCATGGATTACTTCTAATATTATTTCATTGGGAATCTGATCATTGTTGTCAATAGGCCATAAACTATTAGAATACTTGGATCAAAATTACTTATCACATTGATCTCAGTTATATTTTGACTTTATACAAAGTGTATAAATGCTCTTAAACTTGATTGAAAGATAGAAATAAATTCTGCTACGTAACCCCCTCCATACAAAAAGACGCGGAAACAGATGAGTTAAGGCAAACGCATTTGATCGTAAAACTCCCTGTTGTTGCCAGAATGTCGTATCGGTACAATATTTGAGGTATCACGTTGCATACAAAATGGCAACAGCCGTTGTGCGAAGATGCCACTATCTTTCCCACTCTCGCTGGTTGTCGTGGGACCAAATGTCTTCGTCGAAGTTTTCAGCAGATTCACAAATATTCCTTTGCTCGTAGTTATCCAGTTAGATTGCTCTCTTAATTGTCCGTGTTATCTCGTGTTCAGAATCTCTTATGTTCTATTTTTTACGTATTTTGTCTAGCAGCACGGCGCTGAAGGACAAATTCGTTGCAAGAAATAAACAAGTTTAAAGTGGGAAAACAAATTTATTTTTTTTATTGGACAACATTTCAAGAATGATGTTATCAGGTCACTAATATCTCGCGGAAGACTCACTCAGTACAGCGATATGTAATGTAAATAAATTATTGAGCATCTACTTGTAAAAAAAGTGCGTTTCATTTAGGATGTCTCCGTCTATTGGAGAAATAAAATTCTCAACAGAATATTTGAGACAAGAGGAAAAAAACTTTAAATTGACTGTTCAACGTTAGGAACAATAGACTCTAATGGGTTAAAACAGAGAGGCACTCAGGAACATATAAGAGTTTCAAATTATACTTATAAGGGAGATAGTTTACAATACCTCTCATTTCTTGGCTACGATGTTAAGATGATGCTAGGTCCTGGGAGAGAATGTGTGTGACCAAGTTGAAGTTTCGTTGCTATATGATGGAATATTTAACCCCGATTTTTTCGTACATGTAGTATCGCGACAGTTAAGTAATACCGCAAAACGTCGTTACTAAGATTTGAGAGAAATACCTGTTCTGCAGTCTCCGAACTCCGAAAAAATTATTTTTAACAAAAACTTCCCTCTGAGAATCTGACGATATGTTTCAAACTGTTTTACTTATTACGGATGTCTCAGAATTAATTGCATAAATATCCAGACATGAGGCGTAGGCATAGACAAGGCGATAATAAACTCCTTTTACTAATTAACATGTGGTGTGTAATCTTATTTAAATTAAAATACATTTTCGCCTGAGTGGTGGGCATCACTGCGTGCACTGGTCTTTTGGACGTCATGTCCTGAGGCACACAAAGGGATTTTGTGCCCACGCAAAACTCCACTGCTCTTCTGGCCGTCTGCTCTGTTCTCTTGGCCATTTGCTATTCTGGCCGTCTGACCTTCTGCTTGTATGTCCATCTGCCCTTCCACCCGTGTGCTTGTCTGCCCATCTACCGTATTTTTGTCAGCCGTCTCTCCGTCTGCGGTATGCCTGTCTACTGTCTGTCCGTCTGTTCGACTGGCCATCTGTCCGTCCTTTCGTTCGGCTGTTTGGCCATTCACGTGTCCGTCCCTTCGCTTTGCCTAAGGGAAAACACTTTTTTGCTATTAAGGATTTACAAAATATGGATTCTGACTTCTCTTCGTATTTGATAATTTAAAAAAAAAATCAAACAAGGAAATCCACTTTTTGGAACCATTAGTCATCTAAAATACGTTTTTTTGTCGTTAAATCGAGACTCATTCCAGCAGGGCTACGTAACTTCTGAATCTGGGAAGTAGGTTCGGGAGAGTAAATATCTCCTCTATTTCATCATTGCTTTAGTGGCAGAGATTATTTTAATTTAACCAAATAATTAATATAATCCATAATCAAATGACCACTCATGACATCTCTGTACACATTATTAGATTATGTAGTGATAAAATGATGTTAATGATTAATTGTTGAGTGATTTCAACAAAAAACGCCAACACTATTGACAATTTTTCTACTTATTTTCTTCTTCCTTGTTTTCTTCTTCTTTTCAGCTTATTTTCTTCACCTTCTTCAGCACGCAAATCTCATATCTTAATGGAATCTGATATCCATACTTACATAACATGCATACAGAACAATGATGTCTACTTTGTAAATGCTAAAGAATGAGGTGAAAAAGAACCACATCAAATAATATGGTGGAAGTTAATCAATTTTTCATATTTTCTGCTGGGACATTGTTTATCTTCACTTTTTTAATTTTACTTTCCCCATACAATTTTCAGAAGCGAACAAATTAGTCCAAACACATGCTATTCTTTACAACACTATTTTCACATTCAAAAACACACAAAACTTTAACTTTTCATGTACTTAATCATTTAAATGTCCTCCTTTGTTGTTAATAAGTTCATTCTCTTAGGCATTGACTCTACTAAAGTTAAATATTGTCTTTTGATTTCTTCATCACAAAACCAGGCACAACTGACTCAAGAAGGTTTATTTTTGTGTCACATTTCAATTTTCTGAGTTTATTTTTCATTATATCTTAGATTTGCTATTGGATTTATATCAGGAGAATTTCCTAGGCGTTATAGCACTTGAGTATTATCAGTTTTCAAAAAACGGCAGCTTTCTTATGTTTCCGTGGAATTATTTCCATTGTAATGCACAAAATTAGTAACACTACACTAAATATTACAATAAATTGAGCAAACCTATTCCTACAAAACAAATGAACCATCAACAATGAAATTTAAGATAGCACCACAATTAGTCGATTGAATGACACACGACAGTTGCGTATCAAAACTGTCTTACTAGTAGTGTAATGAAATTATGCTGGCCCTCCCGCAAAATTTTTATCTGGACTCATTTTATAAAAGTGAATAGCAAAACAACTAGTACAGCCTTAGTACCTTAAATAATAAAAATATCCTTGAACAAATTCATGTTCATCAGTCTATGATTAATAATCAAGAGTAGAAAAATCTGCCATTATTATTTAATTTTATTATATTAAGACTGTTATGAAACCTAAATGAATTGTTTACTTTTATTGATTTAGAAACAGAATACATAAGCCACAGAAGCGGAAAAATTGTTCTTCTGGAAGAAGCTTTTTTTAATAATTGTATTGTATCAACTATTGCAAAGTATCAAGTAATTAATATTTCTAACAATTGCCAAACCTTCAGTCTAAACATAGGCCCATCTGTATTGTAGGCCTGATCGTTATGCCACTGAGTCTTACTAAATAATGAAAACATTAGGACAATTCCCTCTGTCCTGATTAATTTGTATGCTACTGTATGTCCCAAGAGAAATTATTGTAATGATGCAGCGAAAAACTGTGATATTTCGATGCTAAAGCACATTTTATAGGTCCACTTCTTCCTATATCAGTAAATAAACTTCCTCTAACTCATTGTGTACCCACGTTTTGTGGGTCCATGATATCGCTGAAATTGGTTTATGAAAAACCATTGGTTCAGCTGTGAACAACACAAGCAGCTTACCCATAGACAGGGTTTTGACCAGAATTGATATTCCGCAATCAATCTGACAGATGTCGTTGCCCCTTGAATTATAATGAATAATTTAATTTTGGGAGGTACTATTCATGAAGCTTCTAGGTGATTTTCAATTTTTTCTAAACAATGTCTCCAAATGTTGGCTTTAATTTTTTTAGCTAATAGAGGGAAGTGCACTTATAAAATTGATGCAGGTTCGATTTTCATTGATATCTGAATTTTCGAAAATTGCAAATCATAGGTTTTTTCGCTGTCATTCTGTAACTGCAATATTTCAGATAAAGATTTTTTCTTAATGAATTCTGTTTTTCAAAATTAGCTCTTTAAATAATGTCTGTATAATTTTTTTTCAAAATATGAGTAGTTTTCTCAAAAACTGCTCCAAATGTTTACTTTAATTTTTTGTTGGATAGTGCAAAGTACGCTTAAAAGAATGGGGCAGAGACAATTTTTGTTGAACTCTCTGAATTTTAGAAAATTGTGAGTTACAAAATGTTGCAAGAAAATATGTGCTGCTGTGACATCACTAGTTTCTATTGGATTTGTTCTTGTTGCACTTTCATTTCTTCTTACATCTTCTTTTTAATTTAAATTTATTTTTAGTCAAAAAATGGTAAGAACTGTGTGCAATGTATAGGAAAGAAGTATAATCTGTGCCCATTCTCTTGAGATCCTGAATCTCTTTCTCATTCTTTTAACATATATAGTTAAATGAATTTTTCTCTTTCTTTATGTTTTATTTATACTTAGGATAATCAACTCATACAAGGCAATTGTGACTATGTCATCAAGATCATCATCTAAAAAAAAGTCAGTGAACAGTTATTAAACTATCATGGGTGACAGACTGAATATTAGGTTTTTGTTTCAGCGGCGAATCTTCTGGGGAATTTCAGCGTGGCTGTGACATATGATCTCTTCATTACATTAGGTCTCATCACGGCTGTGCCAGTTTCTGCAGGTAATGACACAGTTCAAATCATATTTTCTATTGTTCATCCATATTGACAAAAGTGTTCAGAGTTTAATTTTTAATACTTTAGTAAATTTTAAAGTGACAAATGTTTATTATTTTGTTTTTAAAGAGAAATGAGAATGTAAAGAAGTAATTAATGATTTAGTGATACAGAGATTTCAACTAGCCTAATCATGTCCTGGGGATATATTTTGCATAATGGAATAGATAATTTAGAATAGTCTGGGATAACAATTAATATTAATATTTTCATCACAAGATTCATTTGGCTAAAGAAATGTTTAAAACAAGTTAACAATAATTGTTATCTTGGCAACTCAATATAAGTATAAAAATAATTTTTATATATATATATATATATAAGTAATTTATCTTCGCCCACAAATAGAGATAATTCATGTATGTATTTCATCATGTAAAGGACACGAGATAAGTTTACCTCACAGGGAAATCAATACTGGAAATGAATTGATGCAGTTCAGGACTGTCAGAACTGTGGCTTTGAAAAATATAACCACCCCACCTTATAACCGAAACTTAGCCCCTAGTCATTACTGTCTGCTTAGAAATCTCAATGAAAACTTAAGTGGTAACTGATTTGTGACTAAAGAACAAGTGAACAGTGCTGCAAGTGAGCAATTTGATAGATAGGAAAAGAAAGTTTATTTTTGTGAAATACTCTCTTTTGTTGAAAAGTGAACAAAATGCATTGAACTGGGAGAGGATTATATTGAAAAGAAATAAGAGTTGTAACCTATCCCAATTATTTCTCACTTCGGTAAAAACATATCTAGTGACCCTTGAATTGACTTTAAATTATTTACAAAAATATGTTGTATTTCCTCTCTTGCTAGAAGGAAACATGTTTGATTATACTTTAAAATGTTTCAAGTTTCTAAATTTCTCTTAGATCATATTAGAAAATCAATTTAAAAAAAATATAATGAATTAAACTCAGTTAAAATCAATATATTTTTGGTAATATTTTCAAATTTAAAATACATTTATCAGACTTAATGTTCTTATTTTTCATTATTGTAATATGACATCTCAAATTGCAAATTAACATATTATATAGTTAAAAAAAACTTAGTATTTTTTTAATTAAACAATTTATATTTAATAATCTCATGGAATATTTTTGTCTCGTTTTGCTAGCTCTGGATGTAGTGCTTTATGGTGCAACATTTGCGGGTATGAAGTTGGCAGGCATGATCCTCATTGCTGTAGGTTTCTTTCTCGTCATGTTTCCTGACAACTGGCCTGACTACATAACTCGTTTACTTAGGTAAGCTTTTATTATAACCAAACGTTTTCTTAAACAAAATCTCCTTAACTCATTTTTGGACTAAATTTTGTGTTTTGTGAGTTCACAGATACCCAGCTTGGATGATTTTCTTTACATTTTAAAATAACTTTCATTCAATTTTTTACACCAGTGATTTTTACTTTTCCTACAATGTTGAAAACTATAACTATGAAATCTTCACTTGGTGGGCTAGAATAATAAGAGCACTAAATGTCCGATTCATAAGGGTGTTTGTGTTGACCCTAAAAATTATTGTTATTTGCATTTTGGAACTTCTTAATTATTAATACAAAGTTTAAAATTTAAAATTTGAAGAGATAGGAACATTTTTATTATTGTCAAATACATCTTTAAGTTTCATTTTGGTCTCTAGTTTGCTTTCTAATGATTTTTTATCCTTGTATTTATTTATGTTTTACTAAATAATTTTACCTTCTCTCTTGTGTTGATTCCATAGAAGAGCAAATATTTGTAAGATTATCTTTGTCTAATTAGTTACTTCACAATACCAATAATATTTACAACATGTATGCAGCCTTATATGTATTCTTTCTTTACATCACAGTCTTACTTTGAAACACAAATTGCACAAATATTTCACAAATACAAATGTTTAACATGTGAATCTTTGACTTAAGTTTTTCGCAGTGACCATCAGACTCAACAAGGCCTTTTTCTTCCTTCATTTCATGATAGAGTGATTTGTTTGATCTAAAATACCTCTTACTAACATTATTTCTTCACCATGTATTATGTCCTTTGCTTCAGCGTGAGAAAATACCATTCAAAATGGCACTTACAGAGTTGAAAAATTCTATTTCAACACAAAGAGAAAGGAAAGGTTTGGGAGTTGTATTGGGTTATTAGTTTGCAAGTGCTACTTACCTGATATTTACTGAATTATTACAGAAAATGTTGTATAACTAAACGTGCCAGGCCATGAGTGTGACTTTCTGAGGGAGGTAGTTCAAATATCATTGGACAATCGTGGGAGAAGCTTAGCAATAGGCTGTCTCCTAGGGTGTTGGTGAGTGTTGTGTCTAAACAGTTTTTAATTTTCCATACGTATATTCACCAGTCATTCAAAATATGCTTGCATCAGCTCACAGATAGGAAGGAAGCCAAAAGCACAGTTGGCAAGCAGTTTTATTCACTTTGCTCACCACATTTCACATGCTATTCTCACTATTTTGTGCTCCACAATGCATTCTGTAAGTCACCATCACAATTCACTAAAATTTCACAGATGTACATGTTCAGTCACTGTCACTCTTTGATCTGTTGTTAAAAAAAAGGTAGATTGTATAGATTGTGTTTTACTCCTTATTTAAAGCAACCAGAAGTTGTTAAGATTCTACATTGTCCTCCAAATTTTAATAAGAATTTAAGTGACATTGTATACTAACAGAATTAATGGAAATTAAACTTCTTGATTGTTCAAGTTCAATATAAATAAGAAAACATTTCTTCCTTTTCAGGGCCAATTTCTTTAAGTGATTAATATTGGGGAGATGATAATGAACAATTAAATTTCTTACTGAAAAATAAAGGAAGTAGGTGATATTTATGTTCAAAAAGGAGTCAAAGATACTTCATTGTTACACTCATAAGCAGTTTTCTTGAGTTCATTCCAGGAAAAAAGTAGCAATATGATTAATATTCCTTGTTCTGGATAATGAGTGTTCCTCTTAATCACCCGTCTTACATTTTTTAAATAAAATTATTGAGAGGTTTTTTAATTAATTAAATTTAGTATTTTCATAACAATTGAATACAATGAACATTTATGAAACACTACCACAGTTTCCATACAATTGTATTGATTCACATTTCTTAGTTCAATGGATAATGACAAGTACTTGCAACAAACTTAATAGCTGCAAGCAACTACTGTTATGAATGTATTTCAAAGCATATCTTGAGGATATTTTTCTAGCTCAAATAAATCTATCAAAACTTGTATTGAACAACATAGGGAAATCAAATTTATGTCTTCAATTTCATAATTAACTTATCATCCCATGTAAGAACAAACAAGTACATTTGTTGTTCTTAAAAATCTATTAAATTCCATGATTTGCCAAAGAAAATTTATGATGAGTACCATCTTTTTTCTATAATTGATATGTTTCTTCAAATTTTAATTATAGGATTTTTAGGTTCCTGTCTTTAGGATTCTATAACATTGATGTATTTTAGGTCATGCAGTTTTTAGGGAAGAATGTGCTGGCATGATAAATTGGTTGCTCAGAGTCTGGTAGGTCATCGTAGATTCAGCAAGCCAACATTCCGCTTGTATCTACCATGCGCTCTCCTGAGAGGCGGAGGATACCTGCTTCATTCCTTTTTCTTTAGTTACAGCATTTTCCTTAGATTTCTGTAGGTTTTTTTAACAAATGTTTAAAAATGTGGCTCCTTTCAATTATTTTAATTAGAATATTGTATAAATAAAGAAACTTTAGAGTTTAGAGACAATGAAAACAATGTAAATCAGAAAAACTTTGCAATCAAACTTCAAAGAACTTATTGTATACATAATGTATCTATCACATCTGAAATACCCTTCATTGATTCAACTAAATGTGAGTGAAGTTGTTATTCACTCATGTAAAGTTGAATTGATGAAGAGTATTTCAGATTTGGATCTTAAGCACCAATCATTCATTCACATTGCAAAATAATGTACTCTATTAACACATTCAAATTAATAAATAAATTATGTTTTCAAATTGGAAGCATGGCTAAGACATTAAAAATTAGGATACCTCCCCATTACATTTTCACGATTTATTTGATAAACATTTGAAGCACTTTCATTGGACATCCGACAAAATGAACATACCATATATGCAACACTATGCAATGAAATGGTGTTCATCAAAAAGTATGTTCTTTAAAGTTGGGTTATAACATTTTTCTGATATACTTCGTTTTGATTATATCTTAACTCTAAAGGTTCTTATTTACACAATATTCTAAGAGATATACAATCATAGTGTCGAGATTTTCCATCTTTCAAATTATTTTAATTACCGAAAAGTTGTGAATTATTGTTCTCTCAATCTTTCTAGGGAATTTATTAAGAAAAATTAAAGTATCCTGAATTTCTAAAGTTACTTAATTACTATAATAATATTTTATCAGATGTTTGATTTTTATTTGTCTAGATATTTTGTCAAGAAATGTGGTTTGAGGGACTAATAGAAATAATTTTTTTGACATATGCACTAGTGTTTCCTAAATTTATGATTTTGTAAAAATAATTGTGTTATCTTTGGAATATTAAAGAGATGTAATTTATAGCAAATAACTGGTTTTGTACTTACAGTTTACTATACATGAGGACAGTTACTTTGCGTAACAATTTGTGATGCTGGATTGTTATTCATCAGATTTTCTTTGCAGCACCAGTTTTCTCTTATTCTTGTCAATGTAAAAATCACTAAGCCACTAATTGATTAAGCTTGCATGATTCATCACGCCTTACACCAGTGAATGCTCCTCCAGGGCCACTGTATATAAATTGACTTTGAACTATTCAGATATTTTTTCTAGCTCCAAACCCTTAATAGCTCTTTCTTCTTTTTTTGATGTAGAGTTGCATCTGAAAATAATATTCATGAAAGTGAACAGAATGATAAATTTATGTACTTTTTAATGTACTTTATATCATATGTAATGAAGCCTTCCCTTTGTTAATCTAATTCATACATATTGTCTTTCAAATTATTCCAAGTATTTGCTAATCCAGTATGATGGCATGACCAGTTCTTTCACATTTTTTGAAGCATGTGTCTATTAATGGTTCAAATTCTTTACTTGATTGAGCTTTTCATTAATGAATGTTCTCTCAAAAAATTATATTAAGCATCCATGAAATGAATTTTTAATTTACTTTTTCATTCGTTATGAACATTTTGTCTGCTTTTTATATTGAAATATTTAATTACATGAACTGAACTATAGTTTCTTCAGTATCTGTCTCATTTCATAGTAAAGCAAATGGAAATGAAAAGCTGAATCATTTAAAGAGAAATTCACTCAGCATGGATATTTGACAAACAAGAAGTTTTGTCAATGGTCCCATCTCTTGTCTCAAAAGAAAGAAAGAAAGAAAGAAAGAAAGAAAAAATAAAACAGAAACAAAACAAAAGCCAAAATTTAAAGTGCGTGTCCCAGAATCATGCCAAGGTAATGCACATTCTGTCGCTTTCATGTCATGTGACCACCTCTGCACCGTCGATCCACTTGCATCAGATGGAACCTTCTCTGTTGTTGCAGAAACCTCATCTTGTTGAGCCACAGTGCCAGGTAAGACCTGCCCACCTTGCCCTTTCTGTAACCTGTAGTGCTTGCCTCTCTTCCTTTTCCTAGTAGAACCATGCAGTTAGATAAGTGTACCGCTATTCAGAGGGCACACTTTGTGAGCTACATCTATGCAATGAATAATTACGCAAAACTCAATGAGGAGGAGGTGGAGAGGCACTCACTTTGTCGTGCATCACTGTGTAACACAATATTTTGTAAGTGTGTAGGAAGTCAGCATGAGCAAGTAATTACTGTATATACTGCCCTGTTTTGAGGCACATTTTAATTGTTTTAAGTTGCACAGTTTTCTTCTGTTAGACATACTGAATATTCAATTTTTTGTTAATTTTGTAACAATTTCATTTTTTAGTAATTTTGTTTTGCTTTTAACGACCCATTCATCAGCTGATTTGTTAAAAGAAATAGAAATAACATAAGATTTATTAATAAGAACATAAAACAAAATTAACTCTTTTAACTTATTTATTAATTATAACACAAGGGTAAAGGAATATGATAATATATTTAAACACTTCAGTGTATTGCACCTTTTATTGACAAGTAATAAGTTTGATTGGTTTGCTTCTGGGACATATGTATAGTACAATATGTGCAAAATCTTTTTTGAAGACAAGGGTGTTAGAAGGAGAAGATATAACAATGTATTCTTTTGTGTTTTATTTATATAGTTTGAGAATTATTGAATTTTCCATGACGTCAGAATTCACTCACCAACAAAATGAGCATTGAAGTTAAAAATGCTTGGAAGATAGTGAGTGACATTCAGGTGTAAGTTTTGATTTCCTTCTTTTTCCTTTGGCATGATATGTGATTTACATGTGTCAAGATACATATTTGAGAATTGTTAGCAAGGCTCTTTGATCAAGTGCTATTGATCCATTGAGACAAATCCTTGAGGTTAGTATGGAGCATGAAAGTTGTACTCACTACCTTGCATTCTATGTAGATATCTCTAGTGTCTCCTTACCTGTTATAAATTCTGAATGTATTATTCCAGAACAAATAGAATAGCATTACCATGCATCAAATGAAAACTAGTTATAAATTATTTCAATATAAGTAAATGCATTAGACAACATGCGATCATTATTTTTAGATTTTTCATTTCAATTACAATTAAATAATTTTATTTTCTGATGAATGAAAATGCATGATTACCTAAATGCTCATTTCGCATTTTTTTATCTGGTGATTAAAGATTCATAAAGTTCTTCATGGAAGGTTGGGCATTATTTCCTCTGTTACATAGTGGAACCAGAGATAACGTTCTGCACATATGAGATAATTAGTATTTGTATGTATGTGTACATATTTATATTAATGATATTAACTGCATGTGTGTATGATCATATCAGTGTTCTTGAAATACATCTGCAAATGTGACATTTGTACATATGTGCATGTACATATGGGAAAATGCGTTTCAGTGTGAATATTGGTTTACCCTTGAGTACTCTAACACCAGTTTATAAACATACCCACATATCAAGTAATTTGATGCAAAATTGTAAGTGGAAGAATAAAAAATGAGATGTAGCTGATAGGGTGCAGTCAAAATGACTTACTACCTGGACCTGGACAGTGTCTCCTAATGAAGTTTGTCAATAATTATATTATCTTATATTTGTTGAATATTTCATTATCAACACAGATAAGAGAGTGAAACAGGACTGTACTTCAGTGTTTGCTTTAACAAATTCATGTGTGCTTGAGGATAATTAGGGGCCGTTTAAAAAATTGTAGTCACTTTTAGTCTGAAGGGTGTACTAAACAATTTAACAAAAACAAAAAAGGAGGGACAGTGCATTGATGAAAAATGAACTGCTCACAATAGTTTTTGTATTACTAATGTAGTATTTGTGGAAATATGGTGTGTTTGAAGTAAACTGATCATAAAAGTTGGCAATATACACTAATGCCATCCTTCACACGTTACATGTAGTATTAAGAATGTTTCTAATTTACCATAATTGCTCTTTACATCACTGTATACACATTCAAAACTTGCTGGAATTTGAAAATCAACAAATATATGCCTAATTTTATTTTATTTTTTATGATTCTATAAATGATAAGCCTATGTTTTATTCAAACTTAATAGCTTGTCATTTTTCTTTGGTAATAATGCCATTACTCATTTTTATTTTGATTTGTTGACTACTAGAGCATTAGATTTTATCCATGAGCCATAATTTTTATTTAATAAACAATTATAGATTAATATTGTCCATTAATATTAAACAATTTTTATACTACATTCTATCTAATTTGTTAACATAATATTGCTTTAAAAATACTTCTTCATTCAAAATATTTGTTTAATAATTGTACTTGTGAAATAACTCTTATGATATACTTCAATTGTTACATTTGTACTGATACCAGCTTTAAAATTATGTTGTCTGTAAATTGTTACAAAAGGGGGAGAGGTTAAAAAACTTCACATTATGAACATATTTTTAATGGCCCCCTACAATGTTGTTTGAGTATGAAATAATAGGATTCGGTATTTCAGAATTATAGTTTCAACAATGAAAATTGAAGGTGGAACAGAGGAATCCTGAAGGGCTCCTGTATCCTCACAGGAACTAACTGTAAGCCTCTAAAATATGAAATTTCTAATAATGATAGTGATGATGATGATGAATTCAACAAAAATTATTAACATGAGACATTCAAATGCTAATGTATGAATTATTTACTTCTCTTACTGTCGGAATTCAACTTATTTGTCACAATAAGAACAAGTCATTTTGTCGTATCCTATCAGTTAAAAGTTTTACTTCCATATAAATTGGTTTAAAATAATAGAGAGCAAGCCTCTAATATCCAGTAATATAATTGAAAGTGGTGAACAATAATTTTTATTCTATAAGCAATTATTTCAAAAAGACTTATTGGCAGGGGAAGGGTATGAATTGAAATTGCCTTCTCTGCCTCCAAAATACTTTTTAGGTCTTCCTGTGAATTACTACATTATTTTATAAAAAGAGTATTGTAAATAGATATATTCACAAATATGACAGATCTTTAACTTGTATGATGATCAGTTCCAGGTTTATTTACAGAATGAAACTACATGACAGTTTTTAAATTTACTTTTAAAGAACAGTGCGTATGTAATTGAATTTGACCACCACCCCTGGCCTAAACAGTTTGAATTGCAAATAAGAACATTAGCTTGAGCTGACATTCATCTCTAAAGGAACTTGAAATAGTTCATTGTAGGTCAACAGAACCAATATTGGTGGTTACAAATTATGTTGATAAATATGTTAATATGGAAGAGAAATAGAAACATAGCCATCTTTCCATCTTTCTGCTTAATAGAAAGAAGTATAAAAAACATTCTTAAGGAATGTTTCAAAACTTGAGCTTCAAAATGAATGAAGAACTATTGTTGATTCTAAATAACACTTTAAGGTAAATATTGTTGAGGAAATTGTATACCTCCATAATAATTAACCATGTATACCTTCATAATAATTAACCACACAAATTTTACAATTTTTATGTTTTAGGCAAATGCTACTTTTTATTGAAAAAAAATTCATTCACTATTTTATAATTAATTAAATCTTCAGGGTATTTTATGAGAAAATTTGCTGACATTTTCCACTATCTCTACAATATTTGAAAGAAACCAGTTTCATATTTTTGAGTTCGATCATCGAAAGCATAATGTTCTATGTAATAATTATTATAATTTAACAGCTAAGAAATGTTGATATAATTGCTCAAATAGTATGTGATGCCTCTGAAGGGAAATAACAATTGCATCATGATACTCATATAAAACAAATACTAATGAATTGATTGGAGATACTAATTGTCAGGTGCATATAAAAATAATTATATTTATGTAGGTAACAGTAAGTTTCATCAACATCATGCCAAAATCACAGAAGTGCAAATCACCACATATGAAAAAAAAACATTTAAATATTAATAATTTATAAGGAATAATTTATGTCTAAAAATCATGACTCTCAGGTAGAGAGTTGCACAACAATTCCCTAATTACATAATATGTAATCAAATGTAATTATATAATATGTTATGCAACTCTCCATTTGAAGGATTCTCAAAAACATCTAATGTCAATAAAAAGGGAGGGAAAAAAGAAGAGAAAACAAAATAGGCATCATAAATCTTAATAACGGATTTCAGACATTTTTATCAAACATTCAAAATGTGTTATAATCACAAATTAATGAAAGTTAAACTTTGATTTAAATATACAACAATAATTCTTCTTCGTTTAAGTTAAAAATCTGTCATTTGAAATATTTCAAATATTTATTACACGCAAATCATTAAATTCTAATACAATTCAAGCTGAATTAACAGCTTTTTGTCATAATTAAAATCAAAGAAATGTACAATTTAGTGACACCACATTTAATTATACAATGGATCAAAAGAATTATTGACCAATATTTAATTGCTCTTTACAAAGAAAATTTTATTACTATCTAAATTTCCCTTAAAATGTACCAAACTCTCATGATAGTAAGTTTTCCCTTGGATCATCTGACATTTCTTAGTCTTATACCTCTTCTTATCATTAATTGATTTTATTTAACTCTCAGCCATTGTGAATGCATTTAACAATTTAATTATAATTTTTCAAGGTGACATTTCTATATATTGTGGAATTGTCTTTAATCAACTCATAACTATCAGTTGCTGATAACAGCATTTACAATGGCACTTCACACCACACTTTTATAATTATTTTCTGTTTGATACCTGCCTAAATTACCTCTCTTCTTTTTTCTTAATTACTATACCATTCATTTCCTAGCGCAAGAGCAAAGTAGAGTATGATGTCGTTAATTTCATTCTAGAGACATCAATATTTAGAGAGTACACATAAAGAGATTTTAGAACTATTTCTTAATCACAAAAACTTCTAAGAATATTTGATGATCAAAATCTTGACAGTTTTATAGATACTAGCATATACTTTCTTTACAGGGGAAGCATCGTGGAACACCCTGTACAAATTTAGTGCTACTAGTAGGACACGCTCACAGGTACCAGTAAGACATACCAACATCTTCATTGAAGCAAGTTTAAAACAAAAACAAACTAGGTAATTACTGATGTATACTCCTTTTTCAGGAAGCAGCTTCTTTTCTAATTTAATGGTCACAAACTTTGAGGAGGAAAGTCCTATGGAAGAGATTGATATTTCTTTTCTCCTATTCTTTGCCATTCTAAATATGAGAAGCTATGCAACTTTTAAATGTTAGGATAACCAATATGAATACACTTCTAGCCAAGAAGAAAATTGCCATAAATAAGGTACTGATGTACTGAAAAAAGTACAACAGTCTTTTCTTTGAAATATTTCTTGCTAATTTTTCAACAAAAATTATAAAAATGTTTTTATGTTGATTGGTGGCACATCACAAAAACAATGTGAATTAAATGGAAATTACTAAATACTAATTGAATATCACTAAGATATCAGAAATAATTACTGGCAATTTTTTATGAAAATAATTATTAAATGAACAATGTATATGCATGAGTGCATTGAATAGTGTGTTCATATTTCAACGTTTTAGGACTTCGCTCTGCGCTTATTTCTCCATGCATTTATAATCACCATTCTTGTACAATCCTTCTTCTTTCTACATTATTCACTTCTTGTTTATCTGTCTTTCTTGTCTTCTCATTCATGTTTTCTTCATGTTTTATCAAAACCTTATGCCTAATTCCTTTTCTTGTACTTATTTAAACTTTTATAATTTGACCTCAAAAATTTTTCACACATTATTCTTTTCATAGTGTTGTATAAGACCTCCTAAGACAATTTTTCATTCAGCATGTCCATCTATTAAAAAGAATCTGATATGAAGTGCTAAAAAGAAATCTTGATATGACAGCAAAAAGTACAGCATTCGTAGCTGCATTCATTATTAACTGGAAATTTTCTATTTTTTGCATTATCTGAATGAGGCTTCTTAACCTGTCACAAAATTTAATAATGAGGTTAAAATGAATACTTTTGTAATGAAATTAAGGGAGAGTTGACACATTGTTACTTTTTATGATCTGATAAAAATGTTGGCTTAAAAGTTACATTTTTGAAACATTTCTTAGAAAATTTTGTTCTATTCATTCTGAGCATTTAAAATACATAATTTCTTCAATGATATGGCAAAAAATTAAGTTCAACAAAATGTTAAATATTTTAGCATAACATTTTCAGAAACATTTTGATAGATTGCTTGCTTTTTACACTAATATTTGTTAAAATAGGAACCTCCTTCCTGTACTGTTTTCCTAAGAAACAAAATCAATTCCAGTCCTATCCTAAAATCCCAATGCTGGTGATGAATGAAAGTATCAAGTAGCATACATTATTGTTCTCGAGCTTCTAAAACAAAAGCATTACATCTCCTCTCTTCACCACAAATCTTTTGAAATCTACATTTCAATTAATTGTTTTGGGTGCATAACTCATTTTCCAGATATCATTTTATAATATGTATTAATAATTTTAACACCATCTCTTATACTTTAAATTAAATCATAACCTTGTATTAGAACTAAAGCATAACCTTGTACACGGTACATTTGGCAATAAGCTCCTGAGAAATGAAGCACATTGAAATGAAGTTGAAACTATTAGAACTTGAGAACTATTATGTTTTCAAAATATTTATAAAACTTAATTTGTCAAGAAATGATTATATAGCAATTTATAATTTAATATTATGCCTTATTTTTAGACCATATGAAAAATGCACCCTGCCAAAAAAAATGAGAAAATGAGTTATTTAACTTTGAACGTGATGATTTTTTTTTAATATCCCCCTAATTGATTTTTTAAAATCATTTTTGACGCGTAATAAATAAGTTATCATAAGTAGATTTGTGGAAGTGAATTGAGGAGAGTTACAGCTTTTCACGTTAACTCAAGCAGTGAGTTTTAGGTCATGCTGATTCGGTCACAAATGAGTAATTATTCACGTCTGCCAATCTGTTGTGGCTTGGTGTACCGTCACCGAAGGGTTCTTTAGGTCGGAGAAAAAAAAATACTAAAGCGTCCCGCCGTTATAGCAGAAGAGTCAAGACGTTTTCACGCGTCTTCTTCCGTACAATAATGGGATTTCTCTCTCCAGATCCCCTGCCATATATGCTGACCTATCGGCCGTATTGTTGTAGCCTTCTGTGGGTAACTAACAATGACTTCGAAGGGTCAACGGCCAATTGGCTTCGAAGCTGCAGACAGGCGGCACGAACGTTACAGCGTGACGTCTGCGGTTCCTCACCGGCCGCTCCGCGCCGCCCGCCGGGCGCAGGGGGCCCCCCTGACGGCGCCGCCGCGCCGCCCGCCGCGCTCGCCGTTGCAGGTGGAGGCCGCCGCCACGGCAACGGCGCCCAGGGCAGCCAGCGCCGGAGAACGTGGTAGATTACGGCAGCGGGCTACATCCGCTCGCACCTGCGCTCGCCGTCGGGCCGCGTGAGATGACCCGACCCGGAGCACGCGTCCCCGGAGCGACAGCAAGGGGTCGGGGCCCCCTAGGGGCGCCAGCCCCCAGCGCCCCTGCCCCCTGCTCGCCCTGGAGACGCGACGACAGGACTTCTTTGCAGAGGAACCCTCTTTTTTAGTTCACAGTTAAGGCACGTCTCACCGTTTCAGTTGGTCGGCAACCTCATGGCAGTTGGAACTAGCTGGGATAAATATGTCGAAAGCCTAGAGACTTTAAAAGGACTTATAAGGACGGAAATAATCATTAGAAGATTAAGAAATTGTTACCATACATAGACAGCTACAATGCAGAGGTCTTCCTTGAAAAATAATGTAAATGGGAGAAATACAATTATTCACATCCCTTCTGTTGCAGTGTTTCACATCCAGCAGGAAGAAGCTGATCAGAAGACAAATAAACAATGCTCTTTTATGAACAACTAATTTAATGAAACCCTGAATATTTTTTTTACTTATTATTCTAATGTTTTTTCTTTTACAATGGTTTGTTTTTGAGATTCACTCCAAACAACATTTTTTAAGGAAATTATTTAAGAATTTGTCATTATATTTTCTTTTTAATTCAAATGTTAATCAAAATTCATTTGATTAAAAATAATGTAATTAAAACTTGCATTTAAGACTCAAGAAACAGTAAAATTTGAGTTTTCTCTTTTGAACTTATTTATAATAATCTAAAATTATTATATAATTGACTTTTTTGTTAAGAACGTAATCTTCAGGCATAAAAATGTTACTTTGAACTGACTCTTTTGTTTAAGATCATTTCATTTTCTTGATTGAGAACAAGCAAATTATGTGAATACTTTCCTAACCAGAGGTTTTGAGGATTACACAGGTAAAATCAAATATTTTCAAATGTTTAGTTTTATTACTACTGATGACTTCATATACCATTGTTTTAAGCAGAAATGTATGCATTTTTATACAATATTCTTCTCCAGAAAGGTTAGAGATTTGACCTCAAGTGAAGTAATTGCATGAGCATTAAAGAAACACTTATTTCTTAACGTTCATTCTTTCTTTACATAAGTTTTAAATAACAGGCCTACATACGTAGATCATCACATTATGCATTTTATCATTTATTACCAAGAAAAGCTACTGTAACATATATCCTCAATGTTGCAAATACCTGAATGCATATCCATGTGGTCTCTTGTTGTTACCAAGTATATTAAAGTTTATATTCTAAAATACCAGTTATTGCAATTATATTTTAACTAATGAACTTTCCAGTGAATAATTACTATGTATTTCAGTAAATATTTTATTTTCTAATATTATATTAGAAGATTATCATTAGTACATACAAGATGAATGTATAATTAAAATGAATATATTATAAATATTATATTTTCATTGTTAAATTTACGGAGAAACCATTATTCCTTAAAATCCATACATTTCTGAGCTGTTATATTCATAATTTTGACATTAATTTCTTAATTTGTATAATCATAAGATGAATATTGTTTTGTGAGACATACATTAACAGTGAACTATGACTCTAGGAATATTTTTGTAGACACCACGGCCCAATTGTTCTTCCACATCGCTCACACTATCAATAAGTGTGAAGTAACGATATGGATTTTTTGAATGTACCTAGCAATCAAGATTTCTCTAATCCTTCAGTAATCAAGATATTTTTAATTTTAATGCAGAATACATAATAAATATCAAGCTGTGACAATTGTTAATAAGGCATGAACCAGCAGAATTGCCACTGTATGAATGTGTAATGTTCAACGTGACTTTAACAGCTAATTTTGCAAAATGCTCCACACAGATAATATTTGCTCCATTAAAATACAATTTTAGAGCTAGGTTTGCCAGCTTTAATATATTTTGAAATATATTTGAGTTTAATAAATTATTAATTTGTCCATATTCTTACTTCTGAAAGGTTAAAATTGCAAATTTAGCAATGCATTAATATTTCAGTAATTTTTAAAGAATGGTCCAGTATAAAGATGAGAAAGAAGGAAAACAGGAAACAAAACTTGTGTTTTTACATAGAAATCTGGCAATCCTGCAGAAAATAATATTTACTAGTCAATGGCAGTACTTAATAGTGTATTACTAGTACACAGAATGGATACAGTAATATTACTTAATAATTACAGTGCATAAATGTGAATAATATTTAAACTAAGTAAAAGTATAAAGTACTCTGAATCATCTGTTATCAGAGTTAACTCACTTCTTTAATGTATTTTACAGATTTCATGTCATTATTTTATTACGGCATATTTTAAATAATTTCTGGACAATCTTTAACTATTTTTGAAAGTCAAAACGTGTATATATTGATTTTTTAAATTTACCAAGTTAATTTCAATATCAAAATATATTTATATATTTAACAAATCAAAGAAAATGTCCATCTCCTTCTGATATGAAATTTGAGTTTCCCTGAAAGAAAAGAATTTCAGAGATTCACATTTATTAGAAATTGGAATTGAATACAGGAATTGAAAGTCAGCTGTATGTGATGTAAGTGAAATATTCACATTGATAGAATATACAGGTTTCAGCAATATATTGTTATATGATGTTGTTATACTCATTTTCCAATATAATCATACTTTTGAATTATCTTTCAAGTCATTAATGTTGCATTAATACATAATAACAAAGACAGTGTATTTTAACTTTGAATTATTTTGCCTGATAGTATGTTATTTGGGAAGTATATTTTTATTTATATTGTCATTGATTTCTTAGCATTTATAACATATATTTCTTTTACTTGGTTGAAAATTCGATCAGATTTAAATGAAGTAAACCATGAATTTAACAATGCATTAAGCAATTATGTTATCACATTTTATTCTGTCTATTATTACAATGTGAAGAGCCACAATGTTCGGAGGCAGGAGCAATAAATCTACAGGAATTCGTAGATACAACAATGAAGAACTTTGAAATCTGTTGTGGAGAGCTTGGTATGGAAATCATTTTAAATGAAAAACCGACTAGTGTATGATGCCTTACTAACACATTAACTACAATGCAGCAAAATGAGACAGAGGAGACAAGTTTATTTTATGTCCATCATTCTCACATGTTTTTTGTCAGGGCTGTCATTGTCTTTTGCAATGGTTTTAGTGCTTCTACTAATCAATCACTAAAAGCAATAGTAGCTGGTCTACCAAGCATTGTCATAACATTACCTATGGCTGAAAAAGAAAATGATTATTTTCATTTAATAAATATGATTATAGTAAACACAATGTTATTTCTATTTAATAACCATTTTCCAATGTCCTGTTGAAATGGTTGAATTGAAATTGATTATCAAACATACATAAATGTTAAGAATTATGAAAATTTTGTTACTAAAATTTCTTTCTCATCAGTCATCATTATAATGAACATTGGCTTTACAAATTAAACCATTTGGTATTTGGTTCTAAGAATTTCTGTGTTAAAAAATTTTCAATCATTTCTTTGGGTATCCCACATTCCATCTTCCTTAAATTTTGCAAATACGAGCCTTTTTTTAGAATTCTGTACACTGCGATGCAGAGCTTCCTAGTCAATTGATTTGAATTTCCTAAAATCATTATGTTGTTGATTTCTTCACAAACATCATTTCATCTTTTATTTGGGAAGGTGTATCTTGTCATATGTCTAAGAAATTTTTTTTCAGATCATCAGATCGCATCAATAGGTCACTTCATTTTATTTTGTTTCAATTTGTTTCTCAGATCTTGTAAATGAGTGTAAAGACTGGTTATTATCAGGACTAGGATTTGTATGCAATTATATGTTTGTTCATTAGCTACAATCACACTTTTGTGATATATAAATTAGGCTTTTTGAAGAGATTTGAAACATATTTTAGAATTAAATTAGTCCATATTTCCTGTTATAGCACATATTTTTACATATTTAAGGAAAACTCACATATAGTATTTCAATATTTTATTTACAGTATGTTCCCTATTAGTTATTTCTACACTTTTAATTCTGCCCTTCTAACAAGTCTTATATCTCTTACTGCATATCTAAAGAATTCCATATACATGATGAAGTCTAACATAATTTTAATGATCCTTTGGTTTCTTCTTGTTTTGAAGGCAAACTTGTGAATTTTCTTGGTTTGGAAACTGTGTTTCATATCAATAGTTGATTGTCAATACAACATTCCTGTAATATATTTCCATTTTCATTTGTAATGTTTTCCACTCCATACTTCCCCAAACCATCCTTTCCCTTTCCATTTGTCAGACCCTTTTCGAGCATTCTGGTCTCCCATACTTACTACCACTTTGTCATTTATTTCCTGAGTCTACTCTATTAGTCTTTGGAGCTCTGAGTAGTGAGCTCTGACACTCCTTTTCTAATACTTCCTTATCCTCTGGCAGTGCATGGATATCTACCAGGGCCAATCTTTCTTCCAATTGAATGTCTACTTACATTATTCTTGAACTTATGGGTTTTCAGTTATTATTCTCTCATTAATTTCTTGGCTCACTATAATTTCCACTCCATCAGTTGCTCTCTCCCTTCTTTCCACTCCACAAATTCTCAGTACATATTTTTTTTCTAGTTTTATCTCCCCTTGCCCCTTATTTTTAACTTCACTACCTAATATCTTCAGCTTATACTTCTCCATCTCTTGTATTATTTACACTTCCTGTTCTGTAATTGATGTTATGTACCTTATTATTTTTATGTATTTATATTTATTCATATACTGACCTTTGGGCGGTCTGAATAGTTTTGTACGTCCGAGGCTATCTAAACATTCCCAAATTAGCTAATTATGAGGTGGGAGATCGGCCCTAAGCAGCGCCACGCTGTCCAGCGAGGTAACCACCTCTCTGCCACAGAGCCTGAATATTTTTGGCTCAAGGTCGTCTCCTCTAGTCTTCCTGATCTCTTTCTTTCCTGCAAGGAAATAGTTTTTTTTTGTTTGTTAGGCCTTTCTTTCCTTTTGAGCTGAGACCTAAGAGCAGTGGGGGCAGTACTTATTTAATGGCGGTGCTTGCTCGCCATGACAGGATTAGCTTTGGGCTTCTGTGGCTTTTAACGAGTGTAGCCTCGCCATGGATACCCTCCCTCGCCCTCTACACCTACCGCCTCGGTCGGTACTGCTTATTTGGACTCTCCTTATTCGCAGCTAATCAACGTATCTGACGGTCGGTCGCCAACCGCCACCTGCGACCCGATCAGCAGGTGAGCCTCGCTGAGTCTTTGTTCTATCCGAAAAAATGGAACCGTTTTTTAAGAAAGAAAAAGAAAATTACTTCAAGCAAAAATAACGTAAGAGCTACTCGATATTTCAAAAAATTGTACTAGACATTAAATATATAATTTTTAGGACAGATTTAAGGAATCATTAAGGAAAAAAGTCTAATATGAATATTGTAGATTTGCAATGTTATTTTTTGTTGTAATTTTTGAAAGTGAAGAAAGTTCAACGAAAATGAGACCTTTGACTTTTTTTATAAGCGAACTTTTTGATATTCGAGAAAATAATTTAAAGAGTCGTTTGTCAGAAAATACTGTGTTTTAGTATTGATTACACGCAAAATTCGAAAAGATTTAGGATATTTATAAGAAATTGAAATCTTTTTGATAACATTAAGAAAATCTCTGAGCTTCATGTAAAGAATTTCCACAAATTCAATTTCAAATTCGTAAGTAGGAATATCAATTTTGATGACATTCTTACCTACGATTTTGCCGCTAGCGGTGTTCACAGACGGAGAGACACACGTTTTGCCTAAACCAATATTTTAGTATCAAGAATCCTCAAAGCGTGCATTCTGTTTACATAATCTATAAGAGGATGTCATTTACCACATTTGAGAGTTAGAATTATCCATTTTTTCGGTATCAGCGACTCACTACGAGTTTTTCTGTCGAAAAATTGTCGTTTCCCGCGGCAGCATTACAAGGCTGTCTTTATACTACCTACGTAAGTAGAATGCGAGAAAGTAACTTGTGACGTTACAACAGTACGAACTTCCCCGCATTGTTTATAATTTTTGCAGTTTTCGAAACTTCAGAGAGTTCAACAAAACTCGCATCTGCTCTATTTGTATATGCGTACACTATCCAAGGAACTATCAAAAAAATCATTTTAGTAAAATTTGGAGCCGATTTAAAAAAAAATACATTTCCATTCTTCGGCAAAAAAACTCCCATATTCTAGACGAAAGTGCGCAAGGATTTAATATATTAAATACATATTAGAAACTAGGATGTAAAGGCTCCCACAGAGCGGCGCGGAAGATCCGCGCTGGACGCGACGACGAAATCCGCGGAGCCGTTCACACTGCAGCGTCAATTAAGGCTTGCAATTTTCAAAAATTTACACGTAACAACCGTACTACAATCGATCATACACCATCTTTATAAGTATATTTCACTCCATTCGCGCAAGAAATTTAAAGAAAAAAATATGGGGTAATTTTTGAAAAAAATATTGAAAGTGTTGCAATAGCTTTATATAAAGTACTACTCCTTAATATTTAAAAATTATTTTCAAAATTTCAGGACTTTAAATCGGGTTAATTGGGGAATGTTCATTTTAAAAAAATCCTACAAATAATTTAGGCGCTAGTGCTGTTCACAAACAGATGGGAGACGGACAGACGAACGGACGATCGGATAACCGGAGAGGAATGACAGACGGACGGATTAAGAAAAAAGATTTTCCTTGGTATCAAGGGACCCCAAAACATGTATTTTCGTTGAAACATCGAAATCGATTTTCCGCAACATTTAATAACTTTCTTTACACTACGTGCATTACTGCATTACGGACGGACGGACGGATGGACGGACAGTTGGACGGACAGTCTGACAGACAGCTGAACGGACGGACGGTTGAGCACACGGACGGACAGACGAACGGATTGATGGATGAATAGACGGACAGACGTGTGTCAGACAATGTCAGTGACAAGATTGTGTTATATTAACTTACTTACTCATGTGTACATGAAGTGAATACCTAAAAGAAAGAAATCCATGTTCTCAGACGCAAGTCCCGGTATGAGACAGCACGTATTTGCCGCGAGAGCAACATAAAATAGTGATGGAACTATGGAAATCGTAAATTTTGTGAACAACCCACTGAAGCAGCCATTACCACCACCCACGCAACAGCAGATTACAATGATGCAGCAGTACATTTATCAACTGCAACACGTCGTACGACAGCAAGAACTACAGGAAATGCAGCAGGAGTTGGAAGAATAAATGTAACGCACGCACGCAGCACGTTCGTCGTCATGTCAGCCTTCAAGCTTAAGAGGAATATGCATATAAGTCACAAGAGAACGGGGTCTAGGATCTTGGTGAGTCAATTGCCAACAAAGGCAGAAAACAAGTTCAAGTTATTTGCAACAATAATAGATGATGCAACTAGTTTATAATGTTGTTCTTTCTTATACAAATAAGAAAATATCACCGAAAGAACGGCGTTGGGAGTGAGTCGGCAATTCTTATGAGTTTAAACAAGTAACATTATAAACGAGTTGCATAGCTATTCGTTTTATAATGAAATTAATTTGGATGTAATGTTTTTTTAAAAGTTTGGTGTAATCTCAAATTCATTTTATGACGTCATGCGTGCTACCTAAGTAACGATGGTTTACGAATAGTAATTAGCTTGAAAGCTATGCTTCAACCAATGATTTAAAGAAATTTTGGAAGCAGCTGCAAAAGCGGAAAATTTATTAAATCCAAAGAATTGTAGCAAATTTAACAAAAAAGAATATTGAAAATTTAAGAATTGGATGAATGTTAAAACAAGCCAATGTTATATGACAGGATGTTGTCCTTGCATATCTGTCGGAGCAGTTTTTGTTTATCATATATTATGTGCATGCTAGCATAAAAGAGGTTGTTATTATAATATGCTTAT